AACGGCATTATATTTCGTAGAAAACAATTTCCGGTTCGGCCATGTTACAGCATGACCATAAATCGTGCTCAGGGACAAGACATCACTATAGTTGGACTGGACCTTAGGTCCGAATGTTTTGATCATGGACAGCTTTGCGTCGCTCTGTCAAGAACACACGATCCTAAAGATATCTTGGTGCTGTCAAGTCGGGGCAATATTGCAAAGAATCCCGTGTTCAAGGATTGTCTTCATAACTAGCTATTACTTATTTTCATAGCAATCAATTTTCATATAATAATTTCATATAATGATAATAATTTTGAATTAACGTTTTGTCAGCCTACGTAAATATCCATTTATTAACCTATTTGATTTAGGATCTACGCTCAACTTCCCAAGTGTTGAGTCATTTGATTTTGATAAAATATTTCATTTTCCCCATACTATTCAGCAAAAATGTCCTTTTTCAAATCAGAGAATAACATGTCGATGACAGTGAAAGTGATAGATGGAAAGGCATGTATGTCCTATTTTATTGGTAAGTTTTTGTATCATAAATGATTTCATAAACTTTGTGATTGAACTTTATTATATGATATAGATAAATATAATATAGATATCTATATTTAAGACTATTTACTAATTTAAGACAATGAGTAAACGACATCTACACGATTCAGATGGAGAGGAGAAATTATACTTCCCAAAGGATGGTGAGACTGTACAACAGTCATTGGTAATAGTCTCCACCATCCTTGAGACTTTAGAAAATTACGACGATTTCAAAAAAGACAACGAAGATTTTATCAAGATTTATCTTAATGAACCTGATTTTAGCGGGAAGGGTAAAAGAAGGAGTAAGCGGAAGTGATTTTATTTATTATTTATGATTTTATTATTTTATCATGTCATTCTGTTCTTTATCTTTTATCTTTTATCTTTTATCTTTTATCTTTTATCTTTTATCTTTTATCTTTTATCTTTTATCTCTTATCTTTTATCTTCTGTCATTGTATATTTCGTGTAATGATTATATTTTGATTGCGTTTCATTTTTTTATGTGATTTGATTTATTTATTTACAATTTACATTTATATTTTGTTCGTAACCCTATTTACAGAACTTGCATCAGTTAAACAAAAATTTCAGTTAAACAAAAATTTCAATTTTATGCCATTTATTACAGATTAAACAAGTTTACAATAAATCAATTTGATATTTAACGGAATCCTAATTCAATGTGCAGTATGGTTGTCACTCTTTAAATAGATTAGATATAGGTTGACGGGGCAAAGGAGTGTGCGTGCTGTTCGCTATTGCTCACACCAAACGGCAACCTAGTAAATGTTTTGTATGAACACCGGTCTCCATCACGATACAAAATTAGGATTGTAGAATTTATTGTTTAACTATTAGTAAAGTGGAGGTAGTGGTGTGGTGCATTAATAGAGTGACAGCCTACTGATTTAGATTTGTTTTTAAGTGAGCATAATGGGTGTATTTTTGGATCTAATGGCAACTTTAAAATTTGTTCTTTTAATCATTTATTAAATATCAGTTTAAAAATATATAAATCTGGAATCTGTTCACTCTGTGAACCAGTCCTATAAAAATTTCAAAAACCCTCCTAAATTAAATATTAAAAACGTCTCAGTAATGGAAATAGTCATACAATTAAGAAATTAACCAAATTCTTAATATCTACCTAAGAGAAAAATACCTACCTAAGTCAATTTCTACCTGTAATACACTAAATATTAGGTTAAATACATAGGTGGTGGAGTCAGCACACATTTACCAAAATCAAATTTGTTTAATAGGAGGAGCCTGTGGGCCGAGATCACTGGATTAAATTTGATGAAGGGGATTGTTTTCAAATGACAGCTGCATTATGTCATAATCGCTTGTGGTCCATGCCGAATCATTACTATCATACATCCATATCTCTCTCTATGATCAGAAAGGTCCGTCACATTTCATTTAATCCAACCGGTACAGTGACTTCTTCCTATATATTTATTTTTATAACAATCAATTTTTATATAATATTTTTATTTTATTTATTTTATAATTCTAACGTTTTTCCAACCTATATCCATTTATTCACATTTGTAACTCAGGTTAAATCTACACTCAACGTCCCAAGTGTTGAGTCATTTGATAGATTATGTCATTTTACCAATTTCATTCAGCACAAATTTCCTTTTTTATTTATCACAATTCTTTCATACGTAAAAACTTCAATTTGAACAGATCTATCAAATGAGACGATGAGGGACCTGACATTTACCGAAATGATTCAAATGTGTAATTCATATATTTTCAGTGAAGCAGGGTTCGGGAACTAAAGCATATTTGTTGGATTGTTTGACCATTGACTAGCGATGACCGATAAATTCGAACGATAAATTTGCTCCCTTATAGTGTCCTTTAATAAAATTTTCGACTACAGCGGATTTCAACGCGCGGTGTTATGCTGTATGCTACGTCAGATTTTCACAACTAGCTCACATTTACCCTCATGACGCTATATACCTATATATATTTATAACTTTGGTTGTGATTGAAATTTTTTGATGCGGTAAAAAGTATCGTTTTGGGGCTATATGATGAAGAGAAATTAAAACATAACTGATGTTTAAAATTTCCTCGAACAAAGCTTTCGACTAGCGGCGGGTTTCTAGTATATATATAATAGTATCCTTTACTGATGGTGGCTGCATTTTTTAAATTTTAGTAGGTCCTAGTATTTATCCCTATTGTCTGAAAGTTTTAAGAGAACTCTCCTTAAATTACTTTAGTGCAGTCACTCAGATAAGTTTTATACCAGGACACTTCAATGTTCAACAAAGACACATACTCTGCCCACAATAAGGGGCCATAATTGTTTCAATTGTGTAACTGTATAGAATTATTATTATTCCTTTACTGATGGTTCGTTGGCAAACTTTCAGAATCATCGCAGTTACCTTAGTTCCCAAAAATTGTGCGCCAAGAACTTTGGGCTCAATACAACAAATCTGAGGACCACAATTTAGACAAAAAGTTCAAACTTGTTTGGATGACGAAAAGTTTGGGAAATAACTTTTTGGAGACAAAGCAATTTTGCTCATTAATTAATAACATTTTTTCAGTCTTGCATTTTTATAAAAGTATCATTTTTATAAAAATATCATTTTGAAAAGAAAAAATAACAATACACAATATAAGACAATAATAGCTTATTATACTCTTATTCAGATAAAGCGTCAAATACAGTCAAGCAATCAACATTGAAGGGAGTGTATGACCAACTTATTAATTTCAGGCAAAATTAATACATTGACATCAGACATACAACATACAGCCGGCCAAATATTGCAAAATAATTTTAATCTGGCTCAATTAAATTTACCTGGGGACCTCAGGCTATCATGTTCATAACCATAAAGATTCGGCCGCGGAATGACAGGCTGAGTGTTAACGGGTGATACTCGTAAAATATTTGTTCCAAATATCGGCGCGCGTCCTGGTAGGTTGTAAACCATAACAAGCTGAGCGCGGCCCAGGGCAAGTCAGTAAAATTAAATAAAACTTAAAACCCTGGCCCTGAAATATTGTATAATATTTCTTTGGTGAAGAAACGTTCGAGTTATTTAAAACTTGCTCTAACCAGAGCCCTCTCGCTTGCAGTAGCGCGCGACCGCCGATTCTACTTGTGAAACAAGCGCGTCACGCAGTACGCGTAGACACATGGCTATGTGAAATTTAAAACATACGATCACAAACAGTTTACTGTTTATGTAAAAACTTGCTCCAACCAGAGCCCTTTCGCTTGCAGTAGCGCGCGACCGCCGATTCTACTTGTGAAACAAGCGCGTCACGCAGTACGCGTATACACATGGCTATAGCTATGTGAATGTAAAAACCATAACCAAAGGACTTGCTTTTGTTGTTATTGTGCAATGCAATGTACGCAATGTACGCAATGTACTACTAGACTAGTATAGACTGGGCGCGGCCGCGCGCCGCTAATAATGATTTGTAGATTTATAACCTACCACCCAGCAAACCCTACCAGCTGGGATATACCTCCAAAAGTAAAATAAATAGAACCTTCCGGTTTTCAGCAAAATTTCCGTCTCGTAAATTTTAAGTTATAGGAGCCAAATTTAGGACAATTTAAATTTTGAATTAAACCGAAAAGTTTGATTTTGGGCTTGGTTGACGATGTCAACCCATTGAGATCGTTGCTTTGCGAAGCAGAGCAACGATCGACGATGCGATCGACGATGCGATCGACGATGCGATCGACGATGCGATCGACGATGCGATCGACGATGCGATCGACGATGCGATCGACGATGCGATCGACGATGCTATCGACGATGCGATCGACTATGCGATCGACGATGCGAAGCAAGAATGCTAATTCGCGCGGCGCGTCGAAGCGGCGAAGTCCTCCAAATTTTGGGCTTAATAAAAGATCGTAGCTTTTAAACTTTGCAAAGTAATGTCGTTGTCTTTACTACTAGGCTAAATGCAGCGTGCGAAAGCTGGTGAACTTGATGTGACGCGCGAGGACAAACGTGCTGTTGAAAATCGATCACCTCTAGCGAGCCCGGTAGGTGGTAAGGTTTTCTGGGCAGGACTTGTAGGTTTACAACCTACCAGGACGCGCGCCGAGTTGGACTCGTCGACGGTCCTGATATTTGGAACAAATATTTTAAGAGTATCACCCGTTAAATAATGCTTCTCGCAACCTTTTTGTAGCGCGATGCACTACTGGGCCACACCGCGCATTAAATAATTTTTCTAGCACTACACTTACTGGGCCGCGCTCAGCCTGTCATTCCGCCTAATCTCTACATTAAAGCCTGGGGTCCTCAGGTAAGCACTATACTTATATTGCATGCATGGTATGGGCCTTGCCGAGCTGCAAAGGATTGACATCGTAAATAGTAATTAGTATATAATATGATTAATTATATTAACATGATCAATGATCACGTCATGCAGATCAACAATTGACAATGAATGACGACAAAATAATAATTCTTATAACGACAATGAGCTTATCTGTTATCTGAATAATAAAACTATAACTATTAATATAAATATAAATGAAAAAGACGGCTAAAAATCCAAAAGATCGTTGATTTTCGAGGATTCCATTTCTAACTAAAAGAAATTGGCTCGCACTGAAAATACTATTTCATTTACTATATCAAATAGTATTTTTAATTTACTATATCAAACCCAAATGTTTCAGATCTAAAATAAAAGTTTAAAATACTGATAGTGAATATTTAATATACATAATGGTCAAAGCTCAGACTCTGAAATCAATACAAACATTCCACAGAAAATATCAACAGTGCCTTGAAAAATCCGAGTCAAACTCAAGCAGTTCAAGTCAGCTCTTCTGATCTTCAATTGCTGTATGTAAAATTTTGCAGTTTCTCAGCAGATATGCCAGCTTCACTGAGTTGAACCGTCGCTCATAGCCATGACCTCACAAAGGCTAAGCGGTAGCCCTGTGTTTAGAGTAACTCCGATCCTGGTCCCGTACTCACCTGCTTTCACTGGTATGTTATACCACCATACTCCTGAGAAAAGTGGTAATAAGAACTATTCACGATTCATGTCAAACTCTAAAGTCCAAACTACGGACCATTGTCCAGTACAGAGCCTGGCACGCTATAATTATATTCTGGACCCAAATACGAAATAAAATCGGACCTGTTTTTTGTCAAAAATGTTAAAATATTTTCGGGTGATACTTTGAAGTGGGGAGTTGTACGTATTATCGTGAATCTTATGACCGCGCCTAGGTTATACTTATGTAAAATTGTGACACCATCTGTCACTGCAGCTCTATTTAAAATTGTTTTTATAATTTCGCGGTAAAAATAAAAAAGAATTGAACGAACCTGGAGTATATTTGATAGTGTGGACGTGTCTGTCGTCTATAAAAACCTGAGCTTCGTTTAGCCTCTCAGCGCATTCTCCTCTGTCAATACGTTAATTAATTATCTTAGACGTAATATATATTGATACGGCTGGTAAAATAATTTAATTAACTAAAGAACTAGTACCTACCAAATATCTAGCAAACGGCTAAGACGGAAATAACAATTCTACGGACAACAACACCAAACTTGTCGTCACGGTAGAGTTTGACTCGCACAACTAGAAACTACCTGTTGAGAATGTTGATCTCGTTGATAAGATATTTTGCCCCCAGCTCCACGAACCACCATGCCCTTTTTCCGTCTGTATTACTGTCCGTGTGGGTTGTGTGACCTCTGTAACAATTATAAGTAGGTTATCAGAGTATTAAACATAGTTAATCTTACTAATAGTTAATAATAACACCCATCTTTTCAGCGATAAATCTTGTATCGCTTCAGTTTTCGAGTTGTAAGGAGAAACGAAAATCGTGAAAATTACAACTTACAAGTTAAAAAGATTGTGCTCGACCCCATCGACTGCTCTGTTCGGATCCCCGCCGTGAGCTACCGAAGACTGAAAGCAGGGCTTCTTAAGGGCCACATTAGTCAGTTGGGGACCTGCAATGAGGGATGAAGAATCAGAATACAAATATAAGAGGGTTGTGGGTCATTTAGCGTGATAGCTTCAGTATCTCAACTTGGAATCGGATTGGGGTAGACTTAATTATGCTACACGAAATGAGCGATATGAGCTCAGAACAATACAGATAGGCCTGATCGATGATTAAAATCGGGCTAATTTTATAACAACGTGAAAGTCATCTATGAACGATCTACTGACAAAGGATGATTTCCGGAGTTGGACGGAATATTTCCAAGTTGGTTCTCCTAATCCTATCTTAACCAAATTGTAACAATTAATGTTATCTTTATGATATAATTTGAGAGCTATATTTTGATTCACGATGTCAATCCTTCGCATCTCGCCGATCTGCATACGGTGGTTGCGAGAAAATGCGCGGCGCGACCCAGTAGTGCATCGCGCTACAAAGCTATATCAAGTGTTTCAACCAATTAGGAAATACTTGTACTTGATCCTTTGCGGTTTCGTATCATTTTTATGTGCTTCTGTGTAGTAATTTATTTAACACAAGCCTTCTTTATTTTATTTCTTTGTCGTGTCATCAAATATTAATGGAGCATCACCTCACACTACACACTATAACTATAAGTATAACACATTTTTTTTAATCAAGACACTTATTTTACTTCGGTGTATTCCGACAGCCACATTGTTACACAAATGCAACCAGCCAATTACAGGAAGCCGAAGGATTTATTTCGCCAGTGACGGTTAAGGTAGTGTGTACCATACTTTCTTCACCCGAGACTTTGCTGCAATGTGCAGCTCCTCATTTAACCCTCACACCCGATTTCTCGAGTATTCGGCTGAGTAGACCGGGGGGCTGCATAGACCACTCAGGATCCTTAGCTGAACGTCAACGACGCTCACCCCACGACCAGGCAGACAGTGGGATTCGAACTCGCAACCTTACGATTTGCAAAGATGGCGTTCTAACCAACTGCGCTGCCTGGCCGTTAAATCAATCTCGATCAAGCTTTTTATAACACATTACACTAGATAAAAAGTTAAGCTGCAATGACTCGGGATTCCAGTATTAGATATTTGGAAGTCGTTGCGTGATGCGTCCGAATAGCAATATATTCGGGAAGCTAATGTAATTAAATAAACTATAATATATGTAATTAGTTAGTACAGCTTCAATCTAAGATACCTTTTGCTCCAGTACCGAAAACTTCAACTTGTGCGAGGGAAAGAGGTGCTTTAGTGGCAATAAGACACACTGTGACACTGTTCGTGTTGTAATCGTGAACTGGGAACTCATACATCTGCTGTCCTGTGAAAACACAACTTTCAAATTATAAATATTATCGTTGGCTCATGGAAAGATATTGAGGGACATTTAAGCGATCTCACTAATTTAAGAACACATTATCGTTATGAAGACAGTTTTTAACAATAAAATGTTCGCGCGTTTTCAATTTCTTACCTTGGACAAGCTTTACTTGACCGATGTATTTCTTGTGAACATAAACATGCGCATTATTCAGTCTCTCCGAACACTCGATCCTGTTCCAAACCTTTATAGAGTTCACCTTATACCAGGCTCCAAGGTTTACGTGCCACCATGCTAGTCCCTTGTCTTGGTTCGGATCCGTGTGAGTAACTCCTTTACTGAGGATTAATGATTATTTAAATCCGTTGTATTTCTTACAACTTTTGGTTCTGTGCTTGTAATCTTGCCCAATTAAAAGTAAGCAATTAATTTCGTTCGTGATATTCAATCCAACACTCACTTATTGTAAACTCCGTTCGTGTTCCCGTCCACCGCTCTTTTGGGATCTCCACCGCACGCTACTGAAGACTGGTATACGTGAGGACTGTGTAGTGCTAGATTCTTCAAACTTCCTGCGAAAATTAAGGCAATTACGAAATCAACTTCCAAACATAATACTTTTTTGCTACCAAACTTTTAGCTGTTATAGAACTGTTTGCTATATTTTTTCCATTTCCTTCGATTTAATTTGACTACGTTTCATTTTTCGATCGGTGGTTAACTTTTGACAAATTTTAAAAACCTGTTCCAGAAGAAATAAAACATACCCTTAACAATGCTTTAATCAAAGAATCTTACCGCCGAATACCGAATTCTATAACCAATAAAATTTGAAAAACATGTTTTTATCATCGTGAAAACAATCTCACAAGTCGCCATATTCAAATGTCCAGCTTCTGTCCACATTTGAGCTCATCACTATCTCGTTATTCTCCATAGCAAGATGATCCTCCCAACCCATCGGGATGAGTTTGGATATCCCACAATTTCGAGGCCTCATAGCGTTCTCATTATCCTCGAATTTGAAGTCTGCTTTAGATTGGACCATGTCCGGAGTGAAGGGATGTCCTATGTTGTTAATTATCTGCCGAGCGTTCCACCGGAAACGTTTCACTGCAGCCTTGCTGTCATCAGTGAATGTTACCAAGTTCTTGCGCTCCGCCAGAAGTTGTTCAAGTTTACTTGACTCAATAGTCCAATCACCGGACAGGCCAATGTTGAACTGCTGAGTGGGGGAAGTAGGGTCGTACTTGCTCCCTCCTAGGTAGGTCTTACCTTTGGCTGCTTCAACTAGATCGAAGGAATTTCCACTTTCGTCGTTGTAGAGATTGCAGTTTGTCAGGGACCAGGTTCCAAATATGTCGATATCATTGAGTCCACCTAGTATGCGTTCCATCTTGTTGTCCACCAAGTGGTAACTGGGGTATTGGAAGGAAATGAACCTACCATAGCTGGTAAAGAACGGAGATGCTTGTTCCTTTGAGTCCACCGCTGTTAATTTCTTCTTTTTCTCCTTGATCATAATGTATTTCCCCAACTCCTCATGCTTTAGGTATATTACCATCTGTACCTTCCTGAATGCAGCTTGATCTCCAATTGAACCCGGTCCAAAGTTGGAGACAAGTTCAAAGGCACCAGAGGACAGTGCAACGACTCCCTTGCAAGCTGCACCGAGGAAAGCGCACTTGTTCTTCGCAGTACCCACATTCTTCCTGTTAGCGTTTGTAATCCCATACCTCTCACCATCTACAAACTTCAGCTCTTTTCCGCTCACTCCACCCTCTACAGGAGTGTAGTAGGCATTCGCTCTGTCATAGTCGTAGAAAATCCTTGGGAAGTATGCTTTCTTAATGATCGCATCACTGCACTTGGATCCCTTGGTTGTAAGCCAACTCCCGTCGTTAAACTCACCCCAGCTGCTCCCATAACTCTCTTGCAGTAGCCACTTGTCCTTGGTGTATCCGATGATGGAGTTAGCGTGGGCACAGCCATTAGAGCACCGCTCACCAGGTTCCACGCTCTTCTTACTGAAGCACGTTGTAACTGGACCATCTTGTAGTGCCTCCATGAGCTGGGCTTCAGTTTCGGCGTTTCCTGTTCCGGCAACAATAACGAACTGATCATGAAGGGTATTATTGAAACTGGCAGGATGTCTAGCACCGCATTTAGCAAAACAAGCCGACTTCCCCTCTCCTTCTCCGACACATTGCTTCTTTGTAAAAGGCACCTCATCTTCGGGCACAATGACACCATTCTGTTTTACTTGAGTTGTAACAGAGTAGGGTTGAACTCCCACACAGGGTCTCCCAGCACAGTTCATGAAGTTCTGGATAGAGTAAGGGATGTGATTCTCCGATACAAGCGCTATCCTAGCTTCTAGAGTCTGAGTACCAGACACCCAGCCACAGGCCGGACACGAGCCCTGGTTCACAGATTTATGCATGATACCCTTCTCCCTCAGATCTAATTCCTCTGGCAGAGCCTTTGTGCTATCAGGGTCTACCATGGCATCTGGCTCTTCTTCAAATTCTTCCTCCAGTTCAGGCTCTTCGTAGAGGTCCGTGTCATCCGTAATACTTAAAGGGTCAGTAGTGGTAAGATTGATCACACCCAGGATCACAACTACGAGCCTCATCTTTTTGTCCTAGGTGCTGTCGAGGAGTTGATGGAACGAACTGCTAAATGAAAGTTTTTCAAAATATCAGTGTTGTGTAATAACTAAGTCAGTAAGTCAGTTAATGATGCACATTGCTCGTGTATATTTGGTTATCTGTGACCTAGTTAAGCACTAAATTCAAGGGCAAGGTTCGAATTGTGACTTTCACCGATGTGAATGTCAAAACAAAGATCAATGAATAAAGAATCTGTTTTAACAGTGGATGATAAATTGGAGAATTATGGACGAAAAATCGGACAATGAATATTTTGAGGCCATAGATATGGATTATGGTGATAAATAAAGGCAATTAGCATTAAGCAAGATACTTCATCTCACTGTATGTCCATGCTTTAAACGAAATTAGAGTTATAGGAGCGTATTTGAGGACAAGACATCGCTGAGATGATAACTACCAACTATAACTACTACTGCAAGGGTCACCTTTAAGTATGAAGCTGTTTACTGTTAATTACTTAATTACTGGCGCTCCATTTCTAAAGTTCTAATTACTGTTTAATCTATCATGGTCATGGGTTATTTGTCAATGTCTCATTTAAAACCCAACAAGTGAAGTTCATTGTACTTAATTTAACATCGTAGCACAATTAATGGGTACAACTAACAGTGATAGATCGTTGTTTATGTTGATAAATACTAATGATAATAATTATGGGATAAATTTTCTACCCTAGGCTTATCATAAATTGAAGGGCCTAACAATTCATTAAAAATGTCAGAAAGGTGATAAACTGTCCTAAGGACATGATGGTGCGATAAGAGTTGGAATATCTTAAACGGTTATAAATTGGTTCGTCACTACTTGGGTGGATAATTATTAATTATGGATGGTAATGTGGCACCTTCTTCATCCAAACATCTCGTACAAGATGCTTGTGGCATTATATTATAATTATTACCTTACTCGGGAATATTATGACTGGGATAAAGTGGTGGGTTTTGGAAAATTCCGCCAATTTCCCGGTCATTAATTTTTCCAGTCATAAATTAACCCGCTATAAGATTCCCGAGTAAGGTAAACTAATAGTAATATATTTTGATGCTTGGTGGGTTTTGGAAAATTCCGCCATATTTTTCCCGGTCATTAATTTTCCCAGTCATAAATTAACCCGCTATAATATTCCCGAGTAAGGTACCATTTTTATCAAGTCATTAACTAATTTCTAATCATCAGCTTCTTATTAAGAGAGTTGATAACTGTTCTGTTGACTTTTGTACTAATGTTTGGGTGGACACAGAATTAGATTCAAGAAACTCTTATTAAATTTAAATTAATGAAAAGAAATAAAACCAGATTCAAATTTCCACCCTTTAACGACAAATTAATGACCGATTTGAAAATTATACTCAGTCCATCTATTTGGGGGATCACATGGTTAAAAAATAAGTGTTCGGTATTTCTTTTCAAGTATATCAATATGAACGATTTTTTGCACTATCAACTTTCAAGTCAATTTTGATGGTCTGAAGCTGCCGTTTTATTAGTCCACAGTCGGAGTTTACAGTACGTCAGTTGAGAGCGGCAACTGCCCGTCATTTTAACACATTGGATGTCTTACGAGCATGTTAACAACTAATTTAGGAGTTTAGGAGGAGCTAAAACACACAGTTGTTGGTTAACAAAGCTATACCCATAGATTAATAAACAAAAAAGATAGCTGTGTCACAATTTCTAAATAGCAGTAGATATAAGAATGTAGAGATGTGCAGTTCCTCACGCCCTTTAGCAATAATCATCAGCAGGAACAGAATATCTGCTTTCAACCGAAACTTACCACTGGAAGTAGAACTAGAAGCCGAACCATCAATCTTCCACAAAATTGGAGCAGACATATCTGACGTCACGTCCACCCAGTAGGACCCACCTTTCCTTTGAATTCTGGAGACCAAGTACGTGTCTTTCGAGCGACCCTGAGACTTCTTAAACCTGTACCCGATCCCTCCTGCCACACTCACAGTCTCTATACTCCAACACTCGTCATCAGCATTGTGGGGAGTTTTGTGAACCAGAGCCCTTGCGTCTCCATTAGATTGGTTGTTGCTGTGCACTACCAGCATCTTGCCACTACCAGCACCGTAAATGGAGACTATTGATATAATGTTGTACCAAAACTGCTGCTTTCTTTTAGTATGATTAGAAGTTTTAGCTGCCATCGGATATTTGTTCAAAGATATCATTAAAAATGGAATTTGATATTTTAAAATACCAGATTTAGACTTGATGTTGAAGCAGTGTTGACCGTTGTGTTGTATAGGGATGATCTCCCAGCGAGCACTATCATCATTGAGATCGGTATGTACCCAGCGGGAGTGACCGTTTCTCTCATCATTTGCAGTCAGGGAGTAACCAGAGGCAGGCCCATCCAACATTTTGATATGGTACCCATGATTAGGAACTGGAGTGAAACCTGAGACTGGATACAGCACATCAAAAACTTGTTCATGATAAGCGAGAACGAGAAATAACAAGAATTTGTGGTTCTGGCATTAATTGAGAAACAAGGATAGTAAGGAAATGGGAACAAACAAGTTGAAGACAAAAAATATTGATATCAAAAAGAAACAGAGCAAAAACAATTCTTTTTCTTCATCATATTAATAACACGTCAATAGATGTGGATTCTGGTGGAGAGGCGAGGCATATTTTTTGACACGTGATGACGTGATAGCCATTATCACGTGCTAAAAATATGCATGTAAAGAACTGTATCTCACCCAGTATATTCAGGATATCAGATTCTTTATTTTGTGAGATGTTTGGATAGTTAATTCGATTTCAAACTTTAAACAAGAAAACAAGTTATAATTATAAATGATGAATTTTCGTTTCGAATACAAAAAATTACCCGACTAGTTTTATCAACATTTTAGATAGTTGTGAGTTTTCTTTCAGATATGAGAAGAAAAGGTAGGTTAGATGTTACAATAACCAACCTTAAATGGAAAAGAGAGGATAGCTTTTTTTTCGATTGGCACCCTAAAATGATTTCAATCCTAACAAGGACATAAGAAGTAGTAACTAAGAAGTAGTAACTAAGAGGTAGTAACTAAGAGGTAACAACTAAGATGTAGTAACTAAGGGGTAGTAACTAAGAGGTAGTAACTAAGAGGTAGCAACTAAGAAGTAGCAACTAAGAGGTATAGTAGTAAATAGTATAATACATTAGTAAATAAAAGGTAGTATATTTATTTACTAACCAGAAGATGCAGCACTAGCAGATGGCTTTGTAACTGTAAAGTGTTCCCATGCATCGGCCTTGCTCCTGTTACACTCCAGTTTCCCGTTCCCTTGGGCTGACAAGTATTTCCCGTGGTATGACTTGAGAGTGAACTTGTTCTTGTCAATCCAGCCAACGGTGAAGTACTCCCAGCCTTGGGCCTTGTCCCTGTTCCATTGCAGGGAGTGGTTCTGCTGAACTGAGGGTTACAGTTTAAGTGGATTAATCACGTGGGTACCTATCACAGAACATGTTGAAAAGATGTTTTTATCGTTGAGGTCTTTTTTAAAGTCTAATTTTTAAGGTCTTATTTAAATAATGTTTTTATTGCTGAGGAAAATATCAGAACAAAGTGAAACTCACTTGAAAGATATTTCCCATGTTTAGATTTGAGAGCCACAGTGTTGGCCTTTATCTCCACAACTTCTATAGTCTCATCTCCACCCAGGGATTTTGAACTGCACGTGGCACTTGAGTTTGGTGCTCCAATGAAGGTGCCATGGTGACTCTTTATACCCAGCTTCCCTTTCAGTGCTCCTCCTGAACTAGCTGGAGCTGAAAGAAATTGAGGGTGAATTCTTGAAACTAATAGTCACAACACACTCAGTATTTATTCAGTCACGTGATAACTCAACTAGTAACCAAACAAATGACTAAACCATCTAATCGCGTTTAACACGCTCTACAGCCCTAATTCTTTACCCATATCTTCTTTCTGTCTAACCCATACAAGGGCTCCTTTAGACTTTTAGACAAATGGTTCTTCACAGTCATTTGTTACTCTCCCTTGTCGCCACTTTGGTCCTGTGTACATGGACAATGTACATTGGTGTACACTGTACAACGTACAATGTACAATGTACAATGTACAATGTACAATGTACAATATACAATGTACAATGTACACCTACTGGTTCTTAGGTTTTGGACGTGTTTTTACAACCTCTTGGCTTCAGATCCGTACGGCGTTATTTGAATCTTTGGTTATTAAAATGTGTCCTGTCAGATTGATGTTGTCTCTTTGCTTCTCTAGTAAAGACAAATCTACGTATTACAACACAAATGAGTTGTCCTGATTTCCAAGATAGTGCTCAACTAATAATATAATAAAAATAATAAACGGTTTGGGTAGTCTCTAACTTTACTATCAAGTAGCAGTTAGCGATATCATTTATACCTCAACAAGATTCAACTAGTTTAACTAAGTCTTGTTTTTTTATTGCAAGGCTTGTGTTTAGCGCGTTTATTGTGGAACTTTCTGGGTACAATATTTTGTTAACATTTTTGTATTCTTTCATACTCAGGTCTTAATGAAAATTATATGAAGAATATTCCACAGAAATGAAATGGTACAGTTTCAGAAATAAACCTTAAAGCACAGTTTTAATTACGACCTTGCGAGTAAAAGATATTTTTTCTGAAGCGATTGATGATCTTAGTTTACATGAAATATATTTTGATAAGCGCCTAAAATAAAAAATGTATACCTTGTTTTTTGGGTGCCGCTGCTGGTGGTGGTGTTGGTTTAGGTGCAGCTGGTGGTGGTGTTGTCGATTTCGGTGCAGCAGGTTTCGGGGGTGGCTTCACTGGTTTGAAACCTCCTCTAGTATCTGAAATAAAAGTAATGTTTTAGAATGAACCGACCGTCAAAAGAAGAATTCGTTAATCGTTAGACAGAAACCTTACAAATAGATTAAACCAGACTTAAAGAACATGAATCAATCCCTCCAATTTGGCTACATCTCTCCAACGGACAGTCACCTAGAAACCAAATAACATCAATCTCTACAGGTATTCGACTCTACGGTAAAGCGTTAAGAGGAAAACAAGGCGAACACTTTGCACATTTCTTACTTAGTCATTCTGCGAATTTGCGCTCCTCCCTTTAATCATCTTCACCATCTCTATTCCTTACTTTAAATCTGCGCTCCACTCCCTTAATCATCTTTACCATCTCTATTCGTACTCTAAATCTGCGCTCCACTCCCTAAATCATCTTTACCATTTCTATTCCTAACTCTAAATCTGCGCTCCACTCTCTTAATCATCTTTACCATCTCTATTCCTTACTCTAAATCTGCGCTCCACTCCCTTAATCATCTTAACCATCTCTATTCTTACTCTAAATCTGCGCTCCACCCCTTTAATCATCTTTACAATCTCTATAATACTTACTCTAAATCTGCGCTCCACTCCCTTAATAATCTTTACAATCTCTATACTTACTCTAAATCTGCGCTCCACCCCTTTAATCATCTTTACCATAATCTATTCTTACTCTAAACCTTGAGCGGGAACTACTGGTTATCAAATATTCATGTATTCTCCTCTCTCGCAGATCAAAGGTGGGCATATTGTGAACTATTAAGTATTACGTTAGGAGCTAGTGCTCTCTAGCGTAAAGAGGTAAAGGTGCCGGTCACCTCTCACTATTTTTAAACTCACATTATTGTTGAGCATTATTTCGCTTGAGGCTTACATTTGCTTGAGGATAGAAGCCTTAATAACAGTTTCTGAAGAACCCCTGATGTTAGACACAAGGTCTGAGGTCACGATTTGGTCTAAATTTAGCCAGGAATTTGTCATAATGAGGCCAGGAATTGCCGAGATTTGGCGTGGAACCAAACAGGTCTGTAGGCCGGAGGGGTTTCTCTTTTTCCAGGTTTTAGTTTGCCATGATAGACATATTTAATTGCAGCGATTAAAGTTTCGATTTACAACATATCTTTATGTATTCACAGTATTTATTTATTAGTGAAGGATAATAATTTTCTGACGTTTTTTCTAACCCAAGCTTCGACTCAGATCAGGACTTGATTAATTAATTTTGCTCCTAAAACAAGATATATAACATAATGGTGTGAATATCCTGAATAATTTTAACGATACATAGTGTTCAGTGTTGTAAGTACGTAATACGTATAAGTGTGCTCCAACAAATAACCTGACCAAGTATATGCGTAGCTGCTGACAGTTGGTGCTTGCACCTGACCTACCACACTTACTTTGCTCTCAGTTTGTTTAGTGTTGGTGCTTGCACCTGACCTACCACACTTACTGTGCTCTCAGTTTGTTTAGTGTCCACTACTGTTGCACCTGACCTACCACACTTACTGTGCTCTCAGTTTGTTCAGTGTCCACTACTGTTGCACCTGACCTACCACACTTACTGTGCTCTCAGTTTGTTTAGTGTCCACTACTGTTGCACCTGACCTACCACACTTACTGTGCTCTCAGTTTGTTTAGTGTCCACTACTGTTGCACCTGACCTACCACACTTACTGTGCTCTCAGTTTGTTTAGTGTCCACTACTGTTGCATCTGACCTACCACACTTACTGTGCTCTCAGTTTGTTTAGTGTCCACTACTGTTGCACCTGACCTACCACACTTACTGTGCTCTCAGTTTGTTTAGTGTTGGTGCTTGCACCTGACCTACCACACTTACTGTGCTCTCAGTTTGTTTAGTGTCCACTACTGTTGCACCTGACCTACCACACTTACTGTGCTCTCAGTTTGTTTAGTGTTGGTGCTTGCACCTGACCTACCACACTTACTGTGCTCTCAGTTTGTTTAGTCTCCACTACTGTTGCACCTGACCTACCACACTTACTGTGCTCTCAGTTTGTTTAGTGTCCACCACTGTTGCACCTGACCTACCACACTTGCTGTGCTCTCAGTTTGTTTAGTGTCCACTACTGTTGCACCTGACCTACCACACTTACTGTGCTCTCAGTTTGTTTAGTGTCCACTACTGTTGCACCTGACCTACCACACTTACTGTGCTCTCAGTTTGTTTAGTGTCCACTACTGGACTTATCTTGCTGTTTTTATTTCTCATTTAAGAGTTTACCACGGAAAAGTAGCATGAGTTCAGCTTTGACTCAAGTTCAATCAATCCAGCAGTTCACATTATCTGACTTTACTGTGTTAATAAGGTATTCAGTAGTGTTACATTTTTTACATTTTGTAGATTCCAGGAGATGATGTGATATCTTTATTTACAACGTTTTCAGTACTATATTGTTTTATTTTTGGAGGATAGCTGCATTACATTATAACCTCTTTTGTGTATGGCTGATAAACATAATAGTATCAGACTGAAGAGTACGTCTGGTTGGACCGGATTTTCTAAAAACCAGTAGTTCGAACCAGATTTTTCATTGTGTAGAGACAACCCGGCCACAAAAATAGACAACAGTTCCTAGATTGTTGTTTACAAGGTTACTCTCTATCAACTTCCTGAATATTTGTAAGATTTGCAAGGCTTTGGCTGAAACCCTGAGAAAGGACTCAAACCAACAAGCTGTAACATTATAAGCCCTACAAAAATGTTGACTTCTATAAGGGGTGCAAATTCCCGAAATGGAAGTTAAACGGAACCATGCCCTGAGCCGCCGACACCCCTTTGTTACCTTGTTAAAACTTCGATTGTTAACAGATCTCCAGACTATTGGTAACGTAATCGGAACGTTTATAGTTCAAGACTTAAGAGCCAAGACATTGTTAAAGAGACAACGTAAATTTTGTGGTAATTTTTATTGGTTTACAATTTCAATTACTCAGAAGTTGGGAGAAATTAGTGTTACTTTTGCTCTTTTTTAGCATCCATTCATTTTATTGTTGCTGACAGTTGTACCGGATACCTGCAAATGCAATGTCATATGGCAGATACCTCCCGTAACGGCGAAACCCTAGAAATTCTTTCTTTACTTTTATAATAACACACCAACTAATAAAAGGCTCGTAACTCGTGTGCTCAGCTCTCCGGTTTTGTTTAACTTATTGATGTAGTTTTTGTATTTACAAAATGTATTATGAATTTCTCATGCCAGTAATGAGTCTTGAATAAGTTTCGCTTTAAAGCTTCAACACCTGATGGTTCAAGTTGTAAATATACGCACCGCATCTAGAGGGGTTCGGTCTTCATCAGAACTTTGCATAATTTGACATATGGACAGAGCTTTTGATGATGTTGCGGTGATAAGGTTCTGATGGGCAATTCTACTGTTGATGAAGATTCGCACGACTGTGTTACCCGTGTGAGCAGCTTCTTTACAAAGAAGCTGCTGAGAGGAAGTTGCAGGGATTTGATTTCAGATCAATTACCAGAGACTGTCGAAATAGTTATTTTTATCAAACAAGTATCTCACCATCCCAACTGTAGAATCTTTTCTTGTCTCTTGCAACCATTGCTTTTGTTTGTATGGTCGATTGCCTCAAAAGAGTGACTTAATTTATAATTAAAGAATTAAGCTAAAGATTTTCAATATAGAACCATTCCGTGATCAAGCTAACATAAACCCGCTAATTAACTAATCTAGCACAAGGTCTGATGCACACATAGGGTCTAATAAGCGACCTTCAGCTCCAGGATGGCGACAGATCTTCTCCCCGCAGACTTGATCTACATATCAACAGAGCAGTACATCACCTCAACCTTTCCTCCTTTCAATAACACGACCAACATGACAAGCTCCAACATGACAAGCTCCAACATGACAAGCACTACTGGTACCTATCTCATGACAGGTACCTTCACCACATCATGGGTCAGCTTCTCCAGTGGCATTCCTCACGTAATACTTGGTGCTAACGGTGATCCTCTCCGGGTCTCCTCTGGAGCTGATATCTTTATTGGAGTAATCCTGGTGACGTGTCTTCTGTTTGGCGTTCCCTCTAATATCATGTCGCTCATCTACTTTGCTTTCAAGCAGAAGAGCGAGGGGTTGTTGTTGGTGCTTTATGTAACGATCAGCTGTACGGATATCTGTATCTGTATGTTCATCTGCCTGTTACCATGCTACTTTTCAATGGGAGGAAAGCTACACTCTTCAAAAGCATCGCGTAAGTATTTTTAAAATCTCGACTATTTATGCTATTGTGGTGCTTTGCAACGCAATATTAAAAGGGTTCTACCCACGATTAAATGATTTGTCGATTTGGTATTGTTTTCCTTTTTAAAAGATGTTCTGTTGGCTTATAACAAACAGGAGCTGAAAGCCCTATAATTTCAGAATGTGTGAAACATGGGAGTATCTCTACAACATTCTCTCCTACTTCTCAATGTTCCTGGTCATGCTCCTCAGTGTCACCCGGACCATAGCTATCATCGAGCCTTTCCGCAAGATAAACACATCCTCTATCTACTATATCATAGCTGGTTATGGAGCATTCTTGTTAGTTCCTAACATTCTGTTGAAGATCTTCTTCGAGACAACCTGGTACATCAAGGAGCTGGGTTACTGCACGTCCTCCTCCGACCATGGAAGGGCCTATGCGGTGCTGCAAAACTTGTTTCTGGTCATCCAGGTAGCCTTGCCGTCTGTTATAATCTTTTTAAGTTTCACCTTGTCGGTTGATAGACTGCTCAGACGTCCGAAACCGCAGATGGGAGCATGGCGGATTAGGCAAAGGGTTTCAGTGACCATATCCATGTTTACCGCTCTATTCCTTTTCTGGAACCTCCCCTTCTTCACCAACATGTGCCTTATGTTGATTATACAGGCAATGCCAAATGGAATGTACCCAGAACCCTTCTTCACCTCCATGTTCATGGGATCGTACTCGTGGATGATAGGCAAGGTACTGTTTGTAGTTCTCAATGCTACCTGTAATCCTATCCTCTACATGTGCAGGATGAAAGGATTTGCTATCTGGATAGGACTACGTAATGAGAAGACAAACGAGGGTAAAATTAAAAACAATTTCAAGTATCTAATGCCGATGACACAGGCACTGACCTTTAACCCAGCCATACAAAATGTCAGGTCAGCCTCAAGGCGCATTATTTCCTTCAAACAACCACCAAGAAATCATTGAAAATACGCATTATCTCGACTAAATGAACCCGATATCCTTGAAGGGGTGTCTTTCAGGAATTCAAACTGCTTGAAGAGCATCAATAAAAAAAGGATAATTTGCATTTGAATATCTGGGAGAGAGAAAGGATCCTGTAGCATGACCTAAATCCTCGATAACATGCATCAAGTTTTCTACAACAGTAAAACAAGTGCGTTAACCAGTACATACCAACATTAAGCTTATTAGCAATCTCCAACAAAAGTGCATTTGCTTGAGCCGCTATCCTCCCTTCATCGTCCTCCAAACCTCTGAAGTCAGTCCAGAGTTTACCCGCTGTGATAACCCCCAGCCAGCCGCTGGCCCGGTATTGGCCTCCGTCTTTAGACTGTTCTTGTACCATGCAGGGTACTATCTGTGGTGAAGTGGGTTGTGTTAGCATGTTAGCATGTTAGCATGTTAGCATGTTAGCATGTTAGCATGTTAGCATGTTAGCATGTTAGCATGTTAGCATGTTAGCATGTTAGCATGTTAGCATGTTAACGTGCCTGTAGCTCATCAGAACATTATCAACAATTTGGACGACATGGTGCACCTTGGCTAGATTTCAGTGCACACAGCAACTATAAGTGAAGTTATAAAATATAAAATATTCGCTTGCTGTTTCGATGGTCATTGAAAATATTTCAAAATTATTTGACAAAAACTGTTTCTTTAGTTTGTGTAAATAGTGTGAGGACTCGAACTACTCTATGAATTGTACTTATCAGTATTAACTGTCACATATAGAAGTTCAACCCAAAATTTGTATTTGATAACTTGCTGACAGGTAGCTTTGAGGCTCGTCAAAAACTTAACTTTTAATTGCAGAAAAACTTAAAAGTGGTCTCCGATCTGAAGCAAGATTGAGTAGATTTGGCCGGCCACTTACGATGAATTGAAACTACAAAATACGCAAGTATTTACTAAAACTAAAACTCATAAACATCGAGACCAAATAACAGGAAGAATACAAAAAAGACTGGGCTAAACCTGAACTTTGCGATCTTTAGCGTAGTTGAGTTCTAGTTCACAAGACTCAGAGGCCTCGTAGTCTTCCGTCATAAAGGGACAAATCATCGACGCACCCTCTACTCCCTTAGCCATAGCAGCGTTAATATTACCTGGTAGGTAATCATCTTTAACCTCACGGTTAGTAAAACATGCTTCAAATTGTTCACTACAATTATTGGAACAGGTAAATATTGTAAATTTTGATAAAATAAATACACTTTTAGGGCATATCATACTTAATATGAGAAATGGGAATATCACGAATTCTGAACCATGACATTTATACCCTAGATAAGTATAAACTAACCTGAAACTACCCTAAATAAGTCAAAACTAACCTGAAACTCCCCCCTTTATGTCCATCCAAACAGGGATCCCTATACTCTCAATATACTCGTATGTTGTCCGTACTACGTCCTGAACTCCCCAGTTATAGGACAGCATAATGTGCTTTTCTCCCAACTGAAGTGTCGTAATGATAAATATGTTTGTATAATTAATGTTTGTATAATTGATTTTGTTATTACTCGGCAAAGGAATAGGGTCGTATCCAAACCAAGGTTAATGTAATTTAAATGACATACGCGATATCAAATAAATTAGTGTTAGGAAAGGGTTTATGTTTCTTGTGAGCCATTAAATCTGCAATCAACATATCTTTCAGAGTTACGGAGAATAATAATTTCATATTGTTATTAAGAACCGTACAAAAACTAACATCACGTCTTATTCATACTTTCATATTGTCTTGGAACAAATTAGACATCATCCCAAATATTCAATGATGTTATATTGAAGTATTAAGCTAAAATTGTATCAACAGAAATTTAGTTTATGTTGAGCGCAGTATTATTTAGAATGTCAAATTTTCGAATACTACACTGTAGTAACTACAGTTAACAGTCAACACTATAATCAACTAATCAGTTGAACTTGTATGAGTTGAACTTGCATCTATTGAAGCGTGGCTATACTTTGTTGACAACATTCCATTGACACTTTTACAACAATTATCAGCTTAAAACTTGGTCAAACACAAGTGTTTTTAAAATTATCAAATTCGTAAAATGAGGCTTATTATGAAGTTATGATTATAGATTATATAAAGTTATTGGTATGGAAGCAAATACAGTTGACGTGATTTGACTGAGAGTGATATCTATTAATATCCAAATTAAATCCTCGCCGATCGTGAAATTTTAACATCAAATATCCTTGCCAAGGCCTTAAAAATACGCCATCCTGGTATTGGAATTACAATTGTCAGCCGCGTTCGTGCGTGTGTGATGACTGATGCAATGGTATAATGCACGTGCAATAATTGTTTTCGTGCAGTTTTGTTGTTGACACTGACTAACACTGCACCTTGCCAACTCTCTAGTAGAGAGTTGAGTTGTAAGTAGTGATCACGATTTGACCTAGTAGACTGTAGAGAATAGTGTGATAAAGAGGTTTATCTTTATTCAGTGGGTAATTATAACAGGAGCTTCTCCATCCATGATCTGAGATAATCTACCATCTAACTTATACAATCAATCTTTTCTAATAATTTACTTCTTATTTACAATTTTATAATACGTTTTAATTAATTTACTCTAACGTAAATTTTTCTTACATCCGAAATATACCTATATATCACCTTGAATACCTTATGAGACATATTTAAATTGTACGAAAGTTGGGGGGTTCTTCGAAAAAAACGCCATAATTTCGGACTTAAATTTAGGTCACCATCATTATTTTCCCCAAATTATTTTTCACACATTTTCCTTAATTATGACTTTATCGATTTACTATCAACTTGTCAATATAGTAAGTTATAGATATAATTCATCAAACAATTAATGAACACTAGTATTCGATAATGAATTGCATTGCTTTAAAAATGATTTTGGACACGTTCCATTAAAAATAAGCAAGCTCTGTCACTGCTTTATTGGCCACGCGGCGGTGAAATTTCGGGAGTAGTGGAAGATAATAAATACTGTCTGTCTCCTATACCCTCTGTAGGATCATAAGTTAAGTTAAGGCTAACTTTCAAAGGCTCCGGAAAAAATTGTTTACAAGATGAAACAGCTGATCAAAGAAGATCTTTGTATTTCATTTTCTCAAATATTGGGTTTCATTTTTGTAAAATAAGGAGATTAAAAATATCCCCAGATACCATGATTTAATCTGGGGTACGAAATGTGGTGGTTTTTGGTAAAACTTCCCATATTTTCGTTCCCAAATCATTTATGTCACCGGAATTATAATGTCGAACATAAATATGTCTCGTAAGGTATGCTATTTCGTTTTACAATAGACAAGAGTCTATAAACTTATGAAAGTGCAGCCAGGACACAATTTTTATTGTATAACTATTGCCTGGTATGAATTTACGTTTATTTTACGGTATAAAATAATAAATAAATATTAATAAACTTAATAACTGTAAGTTTGAATTAATTCACTGCCCGTTTTGATTTCAACCTCAGATGACGAAGAATCAAATGGCGTGATTTGAGAATCAGTGCCCTACGATTATGATATTTTGTGCGGATTATACGAAAATATTATTTGGAAAAATTACCAACGTGAATTTCGGTCACATAAAAACGTTAGGTATGATCATATTACAATTGGGAGGGAGGAAGCGAAGTACTTGAAGTCTGGTACTAGTTCATACTTTTAACAGTTGATAAAAACAGTTTACTCACCTTTTCAACCAGTTCGGCTATGATTTCCGGTGTAAGACTCATGTTGGTCCTGAGTAGAAAGTTCATTAAAATTATGACCAAATAAAACGATACATAGAATGTTCATAATGTATGTTGGTATCTCGGTACACACAGAAATTATTCAAACAAACTGTAACATGCAATCAATTAAAAATATACATCCTTAAATACTCATTCGTATTTATTTCATCGTTAATGATTCATGATTCATCTACTATAATGATTGAACTGGTTTCCCAGAATTTATTTGAATCATCAAAATCCAAATAACACAACAAACCATACAAAATCTAGAAGGCAACGAATAGAAACATAATGTTATGAAAACTATAAACTAAGAGTAACCAAATTGAGATGGGTATTTAAAGATAGCTCTTTTAACCTAAACAATAATAGCGTGTAACCTGAACAAAAGAACAAACAACCGATAATTGCACTATGACTAAGAAGCTGATTAAGCATTCCAACGGGGCCTGTTGTATGTAGCAGCAATACACAGCCACAAGCACCCACAAGCAGACAAACACAAGCAGCCACAAGAGGAAGCTTGTAGCTCCCCGACAACAGCTATACACTATACAATAAAGTGTGGGCTTCAGAGTACGATATACGGGACATCAATAAATTCATGACCTGTGACATTGTGGCGTTGCTTAGCTTTGTGTCATAACTTGAACCAGTATTTGGTTATATTTGAATAGTTTATATGACTGATAATCACTTTTTCATGTTTATTAACGTTTGCCATGTATTTAGGATTTGTTATTACTCTCTGCATTCACAAAATAGAAGCTTTAGTTCGTTTAGTTTTGAAATCAAGTTTGAAATCAAAGTTTTGATATCAAACGCACGTTTTTTAATGCTACTTGATTGTTAACTGTCAATTATGTTTATTTTTAACTCCTTCTTGTATGACTGTCTCTGACCATTAGATGATAAAATAATTCAATCTTGAAACATTGTCATATTTACCTGTTCGTGTCATTTTGTGAGCATTTTGATCAAAATTGATGATCAAACAAACTCATTTAGCTAATCATGGAGGCTTACTGGGTTTAAGAATACCGATAATTAGCTAGGGCTCCAATATAAATATGCCTCTTTGTATCATAAATAAAACTTCATTTTGGAGGCATAACACTGTCATTTTGTGAGGCTAGGTCATTTTTTTGTCATTTTTTCTACAAATGCACTAAATCATTTTTTTATTTGACCAAGTAGTCTTTTGATTGACATAATCATGGTAGGTACCTGTTTTTCGGGGTTAAATTCAAAACTTTGGTCTCCATTCTAATAACAGTTTAGGCGGCAAGACTGAACCAAAAAACCCATATTTATGTTAAATAATAGATTCTATATCAGTTTCATTCCTTGGGAAGTGTTAATTAATGCTTTTTCTTTCATACATAAAAGAATAGGGCTCAATGTATAGGAACATAACTACAGCATGGTCCATGTGGCTGTCATTTTGTGATCCTGTCATTTTGTAAGGCCGATACCCGTATCTGTATTATGTTTTTAAAGAAAATGTTTAAAAATTTAATTAGCTGTATTAAATTTTCTGATTAACAGGTCACTCCAAACGGGAACAAACTTCTAAACTATAAAGAAACAGCTACAATGTTTTCGATATCTTGTTTGGGAGAGAGTGAACAATACAATTTACGAGGAATATTTAATATATACCAGGAATGTTGTTCATTAGGTAATGTGCGAGTATTGCACACGCGCGGGATTAATGCTTTCTAACAGGATTACAAAGGCATTAAGGCATAACAAAGCCAAGTGTTGGTGAGAATAGTGTATAACAATGTTTCACCACTATTCTCACTGGCACTGGCACTGGTAGTGACATTACCGGAGGCAAACCGTTTAATGGCAAGTGGGCTCTTTTGGAGGAATCTCCCATTTAGAGGAGATTTAACAGTGTTGTTATTTAAGTTTTTAACAGAGATTTTTTACAATGGGTCACATATTTAAAACTGGTGAATTTTTGAGGGTCAGTTCAGATAATAGTAATAGTACGTCCCAGTTCATATGAAATGAGAACAATTTAATGGTTCGAAATATGACTCAATTTGTCACAAATAAATATCTTCTGACATTATTATAGTAGTACAGTAAGGGAATATACCAAATTGTAATTCAGAGCATTGAAAAGCAAGATTAAAATCACGGTGTGTTAACTTATACAGCTTGCAATCTGTTTAAAGTTAAATTTAGCTCTACTAAATATGCAGATTGCAGAACTAAACATGCCAGAAACACATGTATTTCTCAATTTCTGTCAGATCCTGCTTACTTGCTTATCCTGACATATAAATATAATATTATGTACTTGGCAGGGATCAGATACACGCGATAGATTGCTAGTCTAATATGAAAACTATGGCTTGTGACTGCAAGGTCAACAGAAAATCGCGATTATTTAGGTCAAAAATTGCGGCGCCGCGACAAGCCAAACTAGGCAAAATCGTGGCGAAAATCTCGAAAATCGCAGCAAAAATAATGTATTTGCACGAATAGAATTATGAATTAGGGGTAGACTGGTTTGTAGGGTAATGACTTGCTATAGTTGGTTTGTGTGTACGACTTAAAGGTGGCTACTTAAAATTTGCGGCGTGTTGCCAGCATTATGGTATCCTTTGTATACAAAACTTATATGTTTTTCACTATCACTATGTTTGAAGAAATATTTCCTTTACCCTCATGAGTTTTTTTCCATATTGATTATTGTGTTCGCAAGGGTATGTTATAAAGTTATAATATAAATTAATTGTCTTAACAATTGATCAGTGTTCTCATTGTTCCAAATCTCAATTAACAAATTTGTCGCGGAGAATGGGAAAAATCGCGATTCCACACGTGCCGCGATTCCGCAAGTGCCGCGATTCCGCACGTGCCGCGATTTCCTTTTGACCTTGCAGTTGTGAGATAACAGATCCCAAAGCTGTATGTGAAGATTGGTCATAATATCAATCTGCGCCGTAGACACGTCTGCAGATGATGTCTATTTCGTCTAATCTAGTCTATTAGACTCTACAGTCTACGTAAATAGACTGTTTTGGGAAAATGACAGTTTGAAGGATCTCATGCAATACATGACAATCAACGTCCTTACTAACATCATTGTCGGTGCCGTAGCTCAGTGGTTATGGTATCCACGTTGGCAGAGGTCCCTGGTTCGAACCCCGCTCGTGGCGAAAATTATACAAATGGTATCTCTCAGTTCTATCTTCGAGATCGGTCTAGTTATCCACCAAGCTGCAATTGGTACAGGGCCTAGGCCTTGGAAACTACTAATTAATTTATGGCTGCTGTGATGGGCTCCTCGTGCAGAAATGCATGTTAATATCTATCAAATCGCTTACACTCGTGTGAGCTTGGAGAAGTATCATGGGCGGGCGTTGCCAGGTAACCATGGCTATTCCGTGAATGGAATTAGCTCCGTATTTTTTGTTTTTATTTTCTTTACTAACATCAAGTGAAGATCGGACATTGCAAAATAAATAGTCAGGAAACTGGCCATAAACTTTAAACTGTTTCAGTCTTCATAGTGTTATTATATAGTGCTGTTACTGCTGTATAGTGTTAACATAGCTGTTACTGCTGCATAACTATTAACTATATCACAATTCAGAGTCATGCGAGCAAATATCACAGTAAATCTTGTTGTTTTTAATAACACGATATTATAACATTTCCTGTTCTATCACATAAACACATAATGGTGATAAATATTTCCAGTTTTTAACCGTTAATCCGGGAATTTTTTCTCCCGTCCCGTTCGAAGAAGAGGAAGACAATAGATTAAGAAGAAGAAGAAAATGATGACTGGAATTAGAGAAGCAAATAGCGTATTCTATATGGTGGTCGAAGTAAAATAACTCTTCTGTAAGACTTTCAGAGGACTTAGTAATCGCTTTTTCAGACATTATTAGTGGAAGACGGAGGTGGACAATTTTATTTGGAGAGTTAGTAAGTTCAGAAAAACAATTCAACGGCTCAATGATAATGTTAAACGCTTGCTACAAACAAGCAACGATAAGTTACGACAGTCAATGGGGTGCGTACTCTATAATACTTAGAGACTTAGATTCTTATTATTAAACATGGGTAGCTCATAAATATAATGTGGGAACTGCAGATATACGTATGAGATTGATGCATCCTAGCATAATATTCACTTGATTCAGTTCAAATTTTTCAGTAGCTTAATTAACGAGCGGTCTGTAGACTTTGTGACTAAAATTATATTCAATGTTAATTCTTTAACAAAATTTCGAAGCTAAGTAAGAATTGATTGCACACAAAATTATCATTAACTAAAGATCTAAAGTATCTTATATCATACATTTTTATTGTAAAATAATCTAGCAAATAAACTGTTAAAATCAATATCAATCATTCAACTCCATTGCGATTCCATTTTATTCAAGTTTTTATCGCAAGACAACAATGTATACAGAAAATAAAAGCCAGCTAGTCCCAAACAAGACCATGGTTACTCTGCGACAGAAAAACTCTTCCTTCATATTCAGTAGAAATACCACCACACAGTCCCAACAATCACCACAGTTCCAACAATCATGAGATTGCAGTCAATAATAACCAAACAAAACCACTTCAAACCTCATCAACATTTACCTCCCCGTATTCCAGAAACTTATCCTCGTAGCGTCGGGGGTTATAACTCCCGATCAGCCGACACAGCGGGGAACACACATCCAGCAAGCCAAAGAAAAAGAGAACCCCTATCCCGAACACAAAGACCATAAGAGCCACCGTGTTAGAACCTGATCCAGCACCTGGTTCCTGGTGAACTGGTAGGGTGATGTTGGTCATGCTCAGTGGTACTACCAGTGGTGATAGTCGTGATCAGCAGAACAACAAAAGAAAACAGCTCACTTAGAAAAGAGAAACTAAGATAATTGACGCCTGAGAACGGTGCAGAGCCGAGGTCTGTACAGTAATAACTAATACTAACATAACACCAGAACTTAATAACGCTGCAATGACTGTGA